GTTTTTTTTCAAAACACTACCAAAAGAAAACGAAGAACGTTTGTTTTAAATGGTATTCACTAAAATTAGAAAAAAAAAAAAAGAAATTGATTTTTGCGCTCTTTTTTTTATTTGTTGATACTCTTTGTCTGACAAAGAAAAGTTTTAAAATGAGAATAAATAGCAGGAGTATTGAACTGAATTGAATTGAATTTTTACTCAACTTCATTATGGATGGATAGAGTGAGGATTCAGACAGGTTTTATTATGAATTTTTAAATGCTGAAATAAAATGTAAAACCATTATCAATAATTTACTGTTAAGTTGAAAAGTCAATTGTTCAGTAGTGTGTGTATTCTAGTAGATTCATATAGAATGAATGAGCTGAAGAGGAGGAAATTTGGGAAACACGTTAAAAGTTGAATAGGTCAGATAGATATTGGAGGAAATAATTGTCAGTCAATCAGTCAGTTGCAACGTAGAACTTGGTACGTATGTACAGCAGTTCATGTTGCCATACCACATTAGCACAAAGACTCAGATATCAAATCAAATCCCATAGTGATAAAGATAGTAGAGGTATTAATGGTAATGAAGAGGAATAGGGTTCGAAGATATTATTCAAGAAGTATAATTCAGTGAGATAAGGTTAGAAAGACAAAGGTTGAGGTGCTGATGAATCCAGAAGATTAGGATTTGAGAGAGCTCACAGAATGGATACACTTGCGCAATTGCAAACGATTTTGAGCCATGTCTTACAAGGTCTCTAATCATTCGTGACTTTCATCTCACGGACCCCAACCAGGTAGTCAACAATTACCGACATGGCTAAGTACACTCGTGAATGACTGCATGGATTTATGCCATGTTTTGGTTTGGCCGCCTCCATAACTTTCTTCCAACCTATTCCTTCCTACACTACAAAACAAAGCTCGACGAGGCAGTCGGTGGTTAGGCATCCGTAACACGTGTCCGAACCACCTCAACTGATGAAGTTTCAATACTTCATCTATTGATCCATTAGAAAGTAAGCTTTAATTTGGAAGCTTCAAGGTGAAAAGAAAAGTGATTGATCAGAGAAAAACGCATTATATCAAAATAATGTATGACATTTAGTAAGAAATTGCAAAACCATTTACAGAGCAGACTAGGTTGGAAAATTTCTGGTGTCCCGTTTATGCTGCATGAGCGGTAACATGAGTTTGTTGGTAAGTAAGTAGCTTCAGTAATTCAAGATCAACTGAAGATAGAAGTCTTTTAAGTATTCAACATTAGATAACATAAGATCAACGGCTTCAGTTATGCTACAAATCTATATCATTCATCTCGGTAAAAGGTCATTAGGAAACAATTTAAAATCAATCACTCATGTGCTGCGATTCACAGTCCCACACATAAGCAAATTAGAGAAAGATGGAGAGATGTAGGGGATATTTCAACAAGATCATCTAATCAGCCCTGGTATGGCTAAGAAGGAACAGAATATTCTCAAACGGCACTGAGTATATGGCCACTGACAGGTGAATTCTATTCGTCACCTGGTGGCATGAGTATTATTTGCGAAATAAATGGGTCAAAATAAAATCGTTCAGCGCTTTAACCGGGTTTGTGGATGCTCCTCAGTTAGGTTAGAAAAACTTCATTGCACACCAATGCTGAACATGGGCTCCAAGATCCTGCCTGAGAGAACGAGTGACGTAAGAACCTACTGTTAGTCACCAGCTACCACAGGACTGCATCTCCTGATTTTGCCCCACCGACTTGTCGATTAAACCAGTTGGTCGATGCCTTAAGGAGTGGCGTCCCAAGCAAATCAGCTGATTTGGTTTCAGCATCTGGTAGACAAAATCTCAGTTTATACACTAACGTAATGATTTTTGTAACGCATCAATAGTTGGACTGCCCTCTGTACTAATTTTGATGTGTTTAAGCACATATAGAAAACCACTCACTATTAATCAAATAGTGGTGGAAATTATCTACTTCGAGAATTTCTTCACAAAGCCAACTCACTAGTGAGTGCACATTATAGCAGGACTGATGGATGCGCACTGATAGTGAGTCCCATATATCAGGACGAAACTATCGTCCAGTGTGCTTTCAGGTTTCGCCAAATGGTAGTCTCAGTAATAAATAGGTAATTTATCCTTAATTGTCATCAAAATGGATTTATAATTTCTGTCAATGGATTTTTTTGTATACTACTGAAAAAGTTCAGTTAGAACACAATGAAATTTGTATGAAATGCATGAATAGTGACAATGGATTGATGTTTTGCAACAGGAACAGTCCATTTCGATATGATGATGAACTGATATTTTGCAAATTAAAACGATTTACGATATGGTTTTCCTATTTTACTGAGTAACTCTGTAATTTTTTTGTTAAATACAATTCGGTTGCCCCACCTGTGTTCTCGTTCACTACACCTGCGCACCATATACATTCGATTAGTTTAAAGCCCCGAACTACTCATAGTTTCTCATTGAATCTGGAAGCCAGACATTACTGAGCATAAAATTACCATTAGTGAACACATTCTAAGTACCAAGAAGTTCTGTACTAGGATGAAATAGCAATCCTTGACTGATGTAAGTAAGTGCATAACACATACTTTCGATTAGTTTACAGAACTGAACTAGTCAGTACTGCTCACAAGAATTTCTAAAGATAAATATTCAAATTAGTCATAAGTGTGAATAAAGTTAATTATTTGTAAAATACATACTGCTGAAGAGTTCACTTTTAGGCTGAAACAACAATCATGTACTTTTAAGTTTGTGTGAAATTCATATAATCTTCTGAAATCCCCTTTTACTGATAATAATAATAATAATAATAATAATAATAATAAGTGATAGTAACATGAATTCGGTCATAGAGTTAGCGACTGCCCATCACGCGGGAATCCAACTCACTCACAAAACCCTAATCAACGAAATGACAATTCACCAGACGGTAGCCTATGCTCCATTATCAGTAGTAACACGCATAAGTAGGTAAGTAAGTAAGTAAGTAAGTAAGTAAGCAGTTAAGTAACATGAATATTGCAGTAAAAATATAATGTTTTCTTTATTATTTCAAGGTTAAAGACTTCCAGGAACGTAGACTCTGTGTCTAATTATAACAATAACAAAAACAGAAAAAAGTGCATCTGTTGAATAGTGTGAATCGAAATGTCTGTCTGTATTGATCGTGTAGAATGATGGATGGGTTGAGTAATGTTCAATCACGTGATGTGCAGTTTACCAACTAATCTAACTGTGTTATCTTTTAAGAAGAGTAATGGCACTTCAAGTAGACACAAGGTAAAAACAGACATCATCAAACTGAAGTGAAATGAACAGCCAGCTATCAAATTATGTCAGTATATATTCATGTTCGAACAGTGTTGTTTGTTTAATTTTAAACTAAATTATACACCTTGTTCAAATGATAGATAATGAACCTAACAGACAGACAGATTGACAGATACAACGCAGAACTTCGTACATAAATGCATCTAGCTGTTCAAGTTACCATACCGCATTAGTACACAGAGACGCCACTGTCATTTCGAATCCCTCTAGTGGTAGAGATAGTAGAAGTATTAGCAGTAATGTGGGGAAGATTAAGGTTCGAAGATTTGATTCGAGAAGTATCATACAGTGAGATAAATTTCGAAAGAGAAAGATAGAGATGATGTGGAATTCAGAAGGTTATAATTTGAGAGAACACAAAGTCAGTCAGTCAGATGAAACGTAGAACTTCGTATGTAAGTACATCATTTCATGTCGCCATACCACATCAGCACAGAGATGTAATTGTCAATTCAAATCCAATAGTAGATTAGGTATTAAAGGTATTAGAAGTTATTGGAGAGGTTAGGATGAGAAGATATTATTCAAGAAGTATGATTCAGTGGAAAAAGTTTACAGATTTGAAGAAACCAGGAGAACACAAAGAGTGGATGCACCTGCGCCATTTCAAACGATTCTGAGCCATGTCATTCAAGATCGCTAACCATCGGTTACTATCGTCTCGTGGACCCCAGCCAGGTAGTCTACATCTATCAATATGACTAAGTCTACATGTCAGTGATTTCATTGATTTCTGCCATGTAGAAAGGAGCGAACTGATGTGCGGTACACCCGTCCTTTGGTTAGCTAACGGAAATCTCGCCTACGCCATGAATAACGCAAGTTAGACAAAGCCAATCAAGCCTTCTGTATCCGTGCTGAGATTTCGTCAGTCACCAGGCCGTCAGCACTGATGAGACTCTCGAGATAAGTGAAGCGGTCTACACGTTCGACTACTTCACTCCCTATCACTAGTTCAGGTGCCGATGCAACCCAATCTTGAAGCAACATTTTGCAATACGGGTGGGGTGGAGAATCGAATTCCGAACGTGCTTGCAATGTTTGTTGATTAGGGTAGTCAGATCCTAACTCCAGGGGAATAAATTTTCCCATCACTCAATGCATACTCAAAAGATGCAATAAAAAATGTTTGATGATCATCAAACGGAACTCGTTCAAAACTATTGATGAAATGCCTAGCAAGTTTAAACATTCTACCTTAATTTATGCTGCTTGTTAAGTCTACTAATGAATACAAACTTTGACACTGCGACAAACAGACTGTTACACCTCAAGGTCACAACTAATCAACACCATAATCGTCCAATCAACAAACAACAATGTTAAACACACACACAGTTTTCCAATCACCGTATGCTACATTGATGATATTCTACAAGTTCTGTTAAGTTGTAATGAGATTAGATCTCTTCAGCTTCTTGGAAGCTGTTTTGAAAGCCTCCCAACACGTGTTACCTCTGAATTAGAACACTTTTATTCCTCTATACTCCGAAAAAAATGTATTTCATCTTAAATTATGACATAATAAAAATGTTTTATATCCAATTTTCCTTACAACAAATAATTTTTTATCAAATGCAATAAAATCCCGCCAAAATATTTTCAAAAAAGTAAAACAAACTGAACAAGTTATCCATTGAAAATAAAAATGACAAACTTACATTCAATAAAACTTCAGGTGTTTCAATCTCTTTAATTGTTGTTGTGTTCTTATCCAAAATTGACTTTGTATGCACACAACCCATAATTTAATGAATTATATTTTTTTTATTTTTATATTGAACACATTGAATGAAAAATGTAATTCCAACAATAAAAGAAAATTGTTTTTTGATTATTATTGTTTTTAATTTTTCTATTTTTTTTTTTTTGATTAAAAAAATAATTAATTATTTCTTGTAATTTTCTTTGAAAAATTTTCTTTTTTCACAATGAGCACATATTCAATTTTCAATGGAAATCGTCGTAGGATCAAGAAAAACACTGTGATTATTATTTTCCACCATATTTGTTTTTTGTTTTTTTTAGTTTGGTAAAATCAAACAAAATTTAATCAAAACGAAATTAAAGCAGCATAATAATAATTCTGATTTCCATTCTAATATTATTCAGTGAGGTTTGATTTTTTATTTTTCTCAACTGAATCTCATTCATTGTGGTGTAGACGAGATG